GTGGCTGTGTGGTCGGGCAGACGGGCAATGGAAACCTGGACTATTAAAGGGATGCCTGCATGGGGCGCGGCCTTATGGAAATCACTCTGGGAATTTAAGGGGCGTGTGAAAGTAGGACATGTCAATGCCCACCAGAAGAACCCCTTCCAGGTTTGGAAGGTCACTGAACCACCAAGTGAACGTTTTGGGAGGGCGGTCCATGAATGAGTCGGCATGGGGAGAGGGCTGCAGCAATGCAGAGCCCCACAGGTAGCCGGCAAGTGGATTACATTGGACCAAAGCCAGGAGCCCTGGGGCTATAGATGAGCCCTAACAGGAAGAGACACCCTGCACTGGGTTTGCATACCTGATGGTAGATGCAAATGCTCAAAATAAGACTGGATCAGAAAATACTGTAACAATTTGAGCCACTGAGTTACATTTCTTCGCACCAAGGGGTGCACTTTACCACCCACACTGTCCAACAGTGGCAAGAGATCTCACACCAGATGTGTTGCGTATCATCCTCAGAGTAATGGTTTAATAGAACATTGGAATGGGCGGCTGAAGCATTTGCTGTCTAAAACCAGGGGAGACACAGGCTTGAGGCTGGCTTACACACCGTCACGAGCATGTGCTCACACTCAACATGAGCGGGGCTGAGGGCGGGTCCCCACTGGATAGATTCCTCCACTTTTCTGGGGGTGTGGGCAAGTCGGGGTGGGGGAGGATGCTGATGCGACTGTATAACTCTTCCCCGCATCACAGCAACTTTTTTTTTTTCTTCTCCTACTCGATGCAGTGGTCCCAGAACCAGGGATGCAACTGTGGGGGCCAGAAGCAGGGATGATTCCTCAACAAGAAACTGGTAACTGTATCTTTAAACCTTTATGTCAGAATTCCTAAGGGGCTAATGGGCCCGGAATGTGCCTTCACCCGCCTCTGGCAAAGTTGGTGCTGACAATGAATGCTGCCACGCTGCCTAGCAGTTGCAAGAGCCCACTGGTTCTGTACCTGTGTAACCCTACTCTAGGCGAGCGGCAGTGGACGGGGCAGGGGAGACACCTGCCAGCCTAGTTTCCTGGCAGCAATCTGGACCAGCACGGTGGCCAAACTAACGTCCCTTCCAAGAGTGGAAAAGTGTGGGTAAAGATAAATGACAAATGGAGAGGAAGAATAACAGCTGAGGGTAAAGGGATGAATAAGTGGGTTATGCAATGAGGGAAATCCAACATTTTATTAACACCTGGAGAGAGCCTCAGAGCAAGAGAATAATAGAATCTCTTAGCAGAAGCATACCAGATGCCCAGCAGGCTGAAGCTGGTCTGCTGAGATCAGCCCTGATTTGGGGACCTGATAAGATTGAACAGCAGCCTGCACAGCTGAATGGCATGGCTCTGGAAAGACATTCTGGTCCTGAGATATATTAACGACAGGACCAACTGTTAAAAGATTAAATGGAATTCTAGCGATGCGCCTGTGTCTTCTGACTCCCATTTTTCGGGCTACATCTACTACAAAGGATAACATTTGGGAACTGTTTCCTACTGGGACTTCAAACTGTGTGGTGTATAGCTCCCAGCTGACTGATCTATGTGATCACTGTGTAATTACAGATCGTGACAATCAATTGCTTAGAAAGGTCCCTGGTTATGATGGACAAAGTATAACGGCAGCGTGCCGAGCATGGGAAGGTGTGCTGTGCACGAGCACGTGTCATCCTGCTTTTGTGGATGGAAAACGATTCATCAAACTAGGAGAAAACAGTGGGTCCCCGATGGGATTAAAGCAGTGGGCATCACATGGTCGCTCAAGTTCCCCTGGGGTACAGCCCTACCAGAGACGAGGCAGGCCATGGGAAGCCTCATGGCATACTCAGACTAAATTAAATTACATCTAGGTGTGCTTACCACGCAGCTAAGCCTCGTCTGGGGGGCCCAAAATTTTGGGGTGCAAAACATGCACCCTATCTGCACCCAGGCCTTTAGTACACAACGGCAACAAGGTCTCTGGTGGATTCAACAACACTGGCCCACAAGCCAGAAAGAGCCTTAGGGTGAATAGGTGCTAGCAGGTATCCTAGGACAAGTGAAATTTGCTTTTAATGAGGAGTGGCATCCAGAGGATAAAGATTAATTAGAATAGGCAGACTAGGGGGAGTTCTCTTCCAGGTGGAAGGCGAAGGATGGGAGCCAGCCTGGAAAGAGAATGAGGTTTTAGCAAAGTGGGTCAGGCAGACTGCCAATAGTGCTGGATATGTAGAACTAGCATTGGGACCCAACAAGGCCTCCTGACTATTTAAATACATACGCAGGCTGAAGTGGCCACGGGGCAGCGGCCCTCAATCCTAGCTGCCGGGGCTCAGGGGCGCACACACCTACGGGAATGTTACGGCCCTCCAAGCTCATGGAAGTTCTCTGGGGACATTTATAATTTACACAGATGCACCCTGACTGCGCGCACCTCCAGTAAAGCTAGAAATAAAATATACCCTGCAGCACAGTTAGTTGGGATAGGAATATTCTAAATACAACTCGCGTCCTCCCCACAGAAGGGAGGTGGGCCCTGCGGTACAACACACAATGGAAATCAGACTCAGTACAAGCTCGTGAACTTGTCCCTAGTTACCTTGGAATCCGGAGCTAACTGAATCGTGGCCAGTGGTCACGACCTCTGTCCTTAATACCGTCTGGTATATGGGCAAAGGCAGATTCTGTTGGGAAGGCAAAGTGAACACGTCTGTAGCTCTTACCGATTGGTTGTGTAATGAAAATGAATCGTACGGTAACCATATTTCGATATGGTGTAGCCCTGTCGCTGGTAAGATTCAACTACCTCATGTAAATGAGTCTTCTGGTAACACTGATACTGATGATCAAATGTATTGAGAGCCTGAGTTAAAGCCTCCTCTGGAGGTAATACCTGTGGAAAATGACTGGCCCGAGGAGGACCAGGATAGCTAATCACCAGCTGATTTCTGTGCTGAATAGTTCTGCACAAATTGATCGTAAGGTACAAGGAGCAAATGACGTTTCTCTAAATCGATCCCGGGACTTCCCGGGTGTCCGCCTGCCAATGCAGGGGACACAGGTTTCGAGCCCTGGTCCAGGAAGATCCCACATGCCGCGGATCAACTAAGCCCGTGCGTCACAACTACTGAGCCTGCACTCCACAGCCCGCAAGCCCCAACTACTGCGCCCACGTGCCACAACTACTGAAGCCTAGAGCCCATGCTCTGCAACAAGAGAAGCCACCGCAATGAGAAGCCCACGCATCGCAACGAAGAGTAGCTCCCCCGCTCGCCGCAACTAGAGAAAGCCTGCACACAGCAACGAAGACCCAACGCAGCCAAAAATCCACCCATCCATCCATCCCTGTCCCACACAGCTTCTCCAAATGTCTGGCCTATTTATGTCGGTACTGTTGCTACATCTGTTCTAATAAATGCGACCCCAAATATAAGTGCTGTGATAGGTATGATTGCTTTGCTGTAAGGGATCTGTTCCACCAGGGGGTGGACTGCAGTACTGTGATTTACAAGAAATACATATACTTGGTCATTCTCAGATATATTTGGTCCTTCATCCGCAGTTCCTGGCTCACAGCTCCCAAAGCCCTTGGAGTTTTCTGATCAATGTGAGCAATGGGAGCATCTCTGTTATATTTGGTCTCTAGTCCTCAGCTCCAGAAAACACCTTAGGGCCAAAAGGGTGAAATGGGTGTCTTGTTATTAATAAGAAGCCCTTTTCCATCACAACCGGGTTTATGTTAATGAAGGTGACTTTGGATCCCACCCCAGGGTGGGGGCTTGTTGCCAGGAGAACCAACCTTGTGATTAGCGGGTCAGAATTTTCAGTCTTGCGTGCGGACTCCTGGGCAGGGGAGAGGGGCCTCAGGTTGAGTCACTCGCCATTGACCAATGATTTAGTCAATCACGACTATGTAATGAAGCCTCCATAAAAGCCTCAAAAGGCCGCTTTTTGGCCCTTTTACAGAAAGCTTCCACACCAGGGAACCAGAACGCTTTGTGCTACCATGCAGGGTCCCAAGCTTCATGAGGACATAAGATCCCTTGTTTGGGACCTCGCCCTATGCATCTCTTCATCTGGTTGTTAATTTGTACCCTTTAAGAGCCTTTTATACTAAACTGGTCATCTAGTGAGTTAAATGGGTTTTCCCGGGTTTTGTCAGCAGCTCTGGCAAATTAATCAAACCAGAGGAGGGGGGCATGGGAACCTCCGATTTACAACCAGTTGGTCAGAAGCACGGGTAACAGCCTGGACTTGTGACTGGCACCTGAAGTGGAGGGTGCTCGGGGGACGGAGCCCTTTACCTGTGGAATGTGATTCTGCCTCTGGGTAGACAGTGTCAGGATTGCGGCCAACTGCGGGACAGCCGGCTGGTGTCCAAGAATTGGATCCTGGAAACCTTTCCAGTGTACGTGTGAGGTAGAGGGTGCCTGCACGACCAGCCCCAATAGAAACCCTGTGCCCTGAGTCTCTAAGGAGCTTCCCTGATCGACGGTACTTCACACGTGTCGTCACAGCTTGGAGCTCAGGGAACCAAGCACGTGATATGGGACTCCACTGCGAGGAGGCTTCCAGAAGCTTGTGCCTGGTTTCCCTGGGACTCCCCGCCATGTCTTTCGCTTTTGCTGATCCTGCTCTGTATGTTTTTGTTGTAATAAACTCATGAGTATGACCATACACCGAGTCCTCCTAGGCAATCATCCAACCTGGGGGCGGTCTTGAAGTTAACTTCACCTGTTTCTTTTTGCTTAGCGTGGCTACTGGAAAATTCACCACGATGGATGCTGCTCACATTACATTTCCGTTGACGGTACCGCCTGAGCACCTTGGAATTGCAAGTGCTTAAGGAGTCAGGCCAGAGCTTCCATTTTATCGGAGAAACTGAGGCCCAGAGAGGGTGGTGCGTGTGGCTGAGACCACACAGCAAGCGGGGAACAGGAGGAGGACTTGGGCAGGGAACCCACTGCAGGACTCCAGCCCCCAGGTACTTACCGGATGGACCTCGAGTGGTTGTCTTGGGGATTGAGGGCTTTCTGGCCAGGGGTGCCCGACTTCCTTTGTCACTAGGCTCGCTCCGGGCGCTGAGTGGCCGACTGGCCCGGTCCCCACTGGCCAGCCCCTTGGTCTTGGCAGCAGTCACTGGAGTGGCTTTGGGGGCAGTGGTGCCACGGCTGGGGCGGGTAAGGGGCTTCCGGGTATGGCCGAGGCCCTCTCTCAGCCGCGCCTGCTCAGGAGGCAGCATCTCAGGGTCCACCATGCAGATACTAGGTGGGGTGGGCAGTGGCGGGGGTATCTTGAGCGGGTCAGGCAGTGGGTCGCGGCGAGGGGCCCCAAAGCCCTCTGTGTCCTCATCTGAATCCGCGGTGCCAGGGGCGGCAGGCAGGGGGTCCGAGTCAGACAGGGTAGGCAGGGACTCGCTGACGGACGTGGGTGGTGTCTCCTCCACCCCTGGAGCACCCGCTCGCTCCTGGGACCGGGCACTACTGTCATTGGAACTGCCGGGGGACACAGGTGCCGGCGCCATGGGCACAGCCTTGCGGTGCTCAAACTCACAGGGTGATACCAGGCACAGGTCCACGTCGTGTGGGGAGGCCGAGCGGAGCACCCGAGGGCCACAGAGTGGGAGGCTCAACCCGGCTTCACTTGCAGCAGCAGCTGGTGGTGGGAGCACCTGCTCAAAGGACACCGACAGGGACTCGTCCACCTCTGTGGAGTGCGGGGAGCCCACCTCGGCAGGCAGCGAGGGGGTGGTCACCGTGGGGGATGCATCCGGCCCAGGCTCCCCACCCCGCAGCGGGCTCAGTGACAGTGGCCCACTGCTCTCAGTTGGGCCCTGGGGGGCTCCGGCGGGTGAGGGTGTGCACGGCTCTGGGGTGCTGGTGGCCAACAGCAGCTCCAGGGTCTTCTCCTCCAAGCTGCCGCCCTCCTCCCCAGCTGGGCTCAGCCCCAATTCCAGGCTGCTCTCCTGGCTGGGCGTGGCCACCAGCCGGGGGGCTGGGGAGCTGCAGGCCTCCGTGGCGGGGCTGGCCTCTCTGCACCGGAAGCTAGGTGGGCTGCGGGGCCCATTCTCTGCTGGTGGGACACCCGGGCGGGGTGTGTTGGGTGCTCTGCGGGGCTTGGGAGCCACCTGGGCACCTGCTTTCTTGCCACTGACCACAGCGGAGGCCACCCGCCGTACCTCCCGGGGTTGGGTCCGAGGGGCGCTCGGCTTGGGGTCCTTCTTCACCTCCCGGGAGGGCCTGGCTTCTTTCTCAGCCTTGCGAGGGGCCTCAGCCCGCGGTGGCTCCTTCTGGGCCGCCCCGGGGCGCTCCTGGGCGGGCCTGGAGGGTGCCGTCGTCCGGCCCTCTCTCCTCAAGCTGTCCCGGGAGCCCACGCTTTCCTTGCTCTCAGCTCGCCGAGGCCCCACCAGGTCCTGAGGGGTCACCACAGGCTCCCGCAAGAACCCCAAGTGCTGCAGGCGGACCAGGCCATCCAGGAGGCGGGCGGGTGGCGTGCAGCCAGGGAACAGCACGCGCACCACCTTCTCGGAGGGGCCCGCGGGGTGCCACACCAGCAGGGCACACACAGAGGCCAGCGTGTGGTCAGTGGCGGCCGAGGGCGGGTGCAGCACGTACATGTCCAGCCGGCCCACGCCCATCTTCTGGAAGAGCACGGTGGGCTCGGCCGGCAGCGGCCCACGGTTCAGAGGCAGGGGGGTGATGCCCAGCCGGGCCAGGAGGCTTAGGGCCAGCTCCGCCTCATCCTCCCCGCGTACCAGCCGCGAGGCGGCTGCACGGGCATTGAGGAACACGATGCCCAGGTTGGGGGAGATCAGCCTGCGCAGCCGGTCATCCCCAGAGCCCCCGCCAGCGGCTGCCTCATCACGCTCCGCCAGCTTGCGCCGCAGCAGACTGTTGAGGCCGGGGAGGCTGTCAGCGCCCGCGTGGGTCACCAGCACGGCGTCCACCCGGTCCAGGTGCCGCACCAGCTTCCAGAAGCTTGACTTGGGGTTGGAGCCACCATTGACCAGCACGGTGAAGCCATTGACGGCGAAGAAGGCAGCATCCCCCAGGCCACCAGGGAAGATGTAGCAGCAGGGCCGGGCGAGCCTGAGGAAGCCCACGGAGGCCGGAGGCTCGAGCAGCTCAAAGGGGGACGGCGGCTCCAGCGACTCGGCCACGTACTCCAGGAACTCACGCAGGCCCTCAGAAGCCGGCAGCTGCACTGGAGGGTTCAACCGCAGCTGGAGCACGCCCTGGAGGCCGGGCACTTCGGGTGCCAGCTGGGCCCAGTCACCAAAGGTCGGGCAGGTGATGGTGAGCTTGGGTGGGTCTGCAGGCGGGGGTGTGGAGGCCAGGAGATCCCGGATCTGTAGAGGGCGGAATGGTTAAGGGGTCACCTGGAGCCAGGCAACACCCAGCCCCTTGGGAAAACTAAGGCCCTTTGCCTGCCTTTGTCACCCTCAGGACAAAAACCCAGCCTTCCCCACATCCCAGAAGGGCCCATCACCACCTGTCCACCTCTACCCTCCTCTCTCACTCTCCCTGCCCCAGGGCCTTTGCACTTGCTGTTCTCAACTCCTAAAGCACAGCATCCTCCAGAGAGACCTTCTACACTCACCCCACCACCACCCCTGTGTACTGGTTCTTATCAAACCAAACATGGTTTGCCAGGGTTTTGCTCATTTTGCCCCACCCAGACTAAGGGATTCAGAAGGGACCCCCATTCAGATGGGACCTAGAATCTGCGGTGCCACTTGAAGACTCTGAGACATCTGCTAATCTACAGGCCCACACACTGCAGTGGGTCATGGGACTGGGCCCAGGAGGAAGACACGCCACCACCATTATTCCACAGAGGAGGAAGGGACGATGCTCAGGGGGACAGCAGGTCGCTGGAGCCACTCAGCCCAGCGGGGACGAGCCAGGCTTCAGAGGCAGCATGGTGACGGGGCGGCTTACCTCTTTGTCCCCCAGGACCTGGAGGAAGTGGCGGGGTGAGAAGCCCCCTGTCTGGAGCAGCAGCTCCCCCGTCTCCTCCAGGCAGGGCCCAGCCAGCACCAGCAGCTTGTGAGAGGCAGGGTCCAGGAGAAGGTTCCGGAGCTGAGGGAGAGGGAGAGTGTTCAAGACCCTATTCTGTGCAGTGAGATAGTCAGCACCCCTCTTTGGGGTGGTCCGCAGCCCCTAATGTATATATAACCACCCAACTCCTGTCCCCATGACGGCCTGGCCAGTACTAAACTAGAAGCCGGGACTACAGCCTGTAGGCCTCCAGTCGGGCTCGACCCCCTATCCCTGCTCCCAACTCCTGCTCATTCTACAAAGTCCAGCTCCGGTGCCCCCTCCTCCTGGAAGCCCTGCACACCCTTTCTGGGCTCCCCGAAGCCCACCTCTCCCTCTGGCCCAGCCCCAGTGCCATGGGGAAGAGGGGCCTGTGTCTGGCTCTGTCTCCTCGAGCCCCTTCAGGGAGCATTTTTGATCAGAGGAATCAACTCGTACAAGAGTATCTAGAGCGGTGTCCCGGGGCTCTATCTTGTTCATCTTTCTCATGAGAAATTGAGAGAAGAGCACAGATGTCCACAAGCTAGAAGTATTAAGTCAGTTCAGACAGTTAGCGGGGCCCAGCCCAAGGGAACGCACGGGACGCAAACATCGGTTGGGTTCTGCCCTCCCACCTCCAGCCCTTCCCTATCTCATTCCTTCCTCCCAAACTCCAGCCTTTTCTGATTCCACCCGCTCCCACCATCAGCTCTGAGGAGGGAATAAATCGAGGCTGGAGCCATCGGGGGAGGCTTCGCTGCTGCTGGGTGTCCAGAAGAGGATTTCAGGCAGCATGAAGGCAAGGACACATGAGGTGAGGCCAGGGGATGGCGCTCGTCCCAGCAGCCCGCTGCCCCCAGGAGCCTACCCTTCCCTACCTCGTCACACAGGGACTTGTCTGATGGATTCAGGAGGACCAGCGTCTCCAGGGTGTCTCCACGGTGGTGCAGGCTCCGCTGGCCTGTGGGGGAACCGGGCCCTGTGAGTTTAGGGCTGAGCCACATGTGTGGGCATCAGCCTGTGACAAGGTCAAACCCTGCCTCACTGTGTAACCCCAGGCGGCCATGAGCCCCTCCAGGACCCCGCTTCCCAGGACCCCCAGCCAGAGGGTCATCCAGGGATTAACAGGCATGTGGTAAAGCTGCAGGTCAGGATGAGGCAAGAACAGGAAACCGCCTTGGCAGGCCTCACGCTGGAAACAAGGCCTCCACTGCTGGCAGGGCCCAATTCACAGCTCTCAGCCCTGCAGGGGACGCCACTGTCACCCTCATTTTATAATCAAGGAGCCTGAGCCCAGGGAGGGCCAAGGAGGGTACACCAGGAAAAGGGCACAACATGGGCAAGGGCCCTGCGGCAGGACTGAGCTCTCTGTGTCTGAGGATCAGGAAGGGGCAGGTGGGGCTGCAGCGAGGGGCAGCAGGAGGGAGCCGAGGGCAGGGAGGCCTCATGGGCCACGGAGAGGGAAGTGGGGTTGATTCTGGGATCCGAACGCTCGTCCGTTCCCCAGAGACCAGATGTGTTTCAAATATGGAGCACCCGGCCTGGGTCTGGAGAGGCAAGGACCCTCTACTGCTGGTTACCCTTTATCAGTTTATCACGGGCTTCTTATCATGTGCGGATATTGCCCCATTCAGGTGGGGAAATTAAGGCACAGAGAGGGGAAGTGGCTGTCAAGGCCACACAGAGCGGATGGCATTTCCAGCTCCCCCAAATGGTGAGGGTCAGGAAGCCACCCAGAACCACTGGGACAATGAGGCGACGGACACTTCCTTCCCCTCCTGCAGCGGCCTGGAGGTGACTCAACAGGCTGGCTGAGGCAGGGGAGAGCTGCAGGCAACACCCAGGCCCTGCCCAGCAGCTGCTCTGTTCACCCCGGTCACCCCAGAACCCCCAGGGAGCCACGGGACATGTGGGGCTGGCCCAGGAACCCCAACTCCCTCCTCGATCTTGTTTTCTCAGGTCCCCATCTACTGAGCATCTACTGTGTACCTGGCCCTGTGAAGGAATCACAGGCATAAACCAGACATAGTCCCTGCCACACCAGGCCTACACTCCACCCTCCAGTCCCGCTCAGCAGCCCCTCACTTTCCAAATGTCCTGTCCCTTTGACTGCGCCCTTCCCTCCACACTCCACGCCAGCCCCAGCTGCTTCTCATCCAAAAAGACCCTCCTCAGAGGTCTCCCTGTCCCCCACACCTCACTGCCTTACCTGTCAGCTGGGGACAAAAACACAAGTTCTTGCCTTGTGGGGTGCTGATGACCAAAGGAAGTGAGTGCTGGCTCAGGGCCTGCCCCTGCTCTGCACTCAGTAGATCTCAGTTGTGTTATTACTGTTGCTGCTTACAGCCATTCCCTGACCCCCATGCCTGGCATATAGCTGGCACTCAAAGAACACCTGTCCACTGAATGAGCAGAAGGGGAGAGCTGGGGCATGCAGGGTCCCCAGCCTCACCTTTCACAATGCTGGAAAAGGTGGCCGAGTGCCGTGACACGAAGACCTTGAGCTGCTCATCGAGGCTGCAGACGCCAGGGTCAATGTCCCACGACCGGATGCCTGGTGGGGAGAGGGGGGAAGGGAGGTAGGAAATCAGCTGGGCTTCCCAGCTCCCAGAATACTTCAATAACTAGCGGATGGCTGGTGAGGGCCGCCACAGGCCCCTCCCCTCAACCTGCCCCTGCACATGACGGCCTGGAAATTCAGAACCATCCAATGTGCCTTTGGAGCCCACTGCATCCACCCTCATGGAACCCAAAGTGTAAATCAGGCATTTTACAGAGAAGACTCAGGACATCAGAAAGAAAGTCCCGGCCTCCTACACAGTCATCTTGTCCCCTCCGTCATCCTCCCACCCCCACCACTGGTTTCACTGTTCCTCAGCCCTGCCAGGCACAGTTCCCATCTCTGAGCCTTCACGTGAGCTGTTCCCACTGCCCAGAGGTCCTTCTCCCCACCCTTCAGGTCCTCTCAGCCCTTTGCATCCTCTGAACACCCCTGTAACCATCTGAGCTTAAAACTTGGTCCATCTCCTCACTCACTTTGGTACCCGCCCCCCAACCAGACCCATTAGTCCTGTGAGGGCAGGACTGAGCCTGCCCTTGGTCCCCACGCTATCCCTGATGCCCTGTGGGGTGACATTCCTTCATCCCGTGAACCGAGATGTTTGCTGCCGTCCCATTTTACTGGCTACGGACGGCAGGCCCTGCCGATCTGAGAGATGGGGGATGGATGAATGCCCTCCAATCGCGGTTCGGGGTGCACCACGCCTGCCGGTCCCACCGTGCCAAGTGGCTGCAGGTTAACCTTGCAGGTGCACCTATGACTCATATCCCCAGGTGCCAAATCCCTTGAGCAGGCAGCACCCGCCCACACCCCAATTAGCAGTTCCTCATGGAGCTGCGGAAAGTAGGCCCTGGAGCTCCGGGCCCAGCCTCCCCATCCCTGCTCCTCCCTCCAAGACTTCCAGGCTGCTAAGGCCCGAGGATTCGAGGAGGGCCCGGAGGGCGGGAAGCAGAGCCGTTGCCCATGCTGCCCAATCGCGTGGGTCCCAAAGCCTGGGCCCGTATCCCCTCCCCGGTCTGCACCCCGCTCGAGGCGGAGCAGCCCAGCCCAAACCCGAACGCTGTTTCCTCTGCGGGCACGCACGGGCTCTGCCTGCGCCCTGTGCCTAACGGTAAGGGGATAGGGGCACCGGGGCCCCCGGATCCAGCCGCCCCCCGCCCCATAGGCCGAGATGCGCCGCCGCGCCCGCCTCCCCGACACCGCGTTCCCGGGCCGGCCCGACCTCGTTCAAGCTCCTCCAGCACATAGGCTAGCAGCCCGGGGCACCCGCACTCGCCGCCCACCACGAGCAGCAGTGAACTGGGCGCCTCCACCGACCCGGGCCCTGCTGCCGAAACCGCCATCTTCGCGCCGGCCAGACGCTCCGAGCGCCCGCCCTGCTGTCCCCGCCCCTTAAAGGGGCCGGACCGGAAGGGCTGAAGACCCCGCCCGGAAGCCCCTCCTCGCACGTTATCTGCCCCTTCCCGCCCATTGAGGTCGTGGGAGATGGGGGTATGGAGACCTAAAGGTTGGCCTAGCCTTGGGTCTCCACTTTGGGCACCCCTCCCAAATAACCACTGATTCATTCATTCATTCACTCATTCATTCACTCAACAAGTTCTGACTGCATGCCTACTACATGCCAGTCGGAATCTCTGCCCTCTGGAAACTCACATCACATCACAGTGGGCCCAATCAGAACCAGGTCCCAGATGGTCCCAGTTCCCCAGGTCAGGGCTTAAACAGAGAAAAGAAGGGTACCTTTGAGGGCTTTGAGGGATGCATAGGAGTTTGCAAGGTGTGGGTGATGGGACAATGACATGGGAGGCGTAAGTTAGATCATGTGCAAAGTTTTAAAGATAGGAAAGTACATGTGAATTCGAGACACATTCCAGAGCACTCTGGGCCTGGAACAGGGCACACTTATTCTGCTATATGCTAGGCATTTTACTCCACTAGTTCACTGAATACATGCGTAAACCTATGAAGTTGGCACTGTTATTATGGTCATTTCAGAAAAGGATGGAGAGGAAATAGACTTGGAGAGATGAAGTCACCAGGCCCATAAGAGGTAGAGCAGAGATTCAAATCCAGGCAAGTCTGATTCCAGATTTAGTCTGTGGCAGAGACTGACTGCCTGGCTCACGTGGGTAGCCCTCCTTCCCCAGACAATTGCATTTGGCCTTTTTAACCATGGTGGCCACTACCTGGAAAATTATGTTGCAGCAAACTTTTTGACAGTTGCCCATGTCCAGGAAGGGCTGGGTTGTCTCCCTGGGGAGTGAGCTCCTCATCTTTGGAGGTATACAAAACCAATAAAGACAAATGAAAAGATCTGCCAAGAAGGATCAGCCTCCCACTGCCCTTCATTATCTGTTCAGCACAACTTCCTCCCTGGTCAGTGTGTAACAGTCACTGGCCACGTGCCATCTAATGTCCAACATTTGGGCGCTCCACTTCCTCTCTCTCATTTTGGCCCTGGCATCTTTCCTCTATCCTGGTCCCTCCCTCTTGGCTCCCTTCCCTGTTTCCTGCCTGCCTGTGATTTCTTCTATTATTTGTCTCAGCAATAATGGGAATGGAAGTGTCTGTGTCAGGTTCTGTCTCCCCCAGCAGGATAGGAGATCGTTGGAGGCCAGATCAGGCTGAGGTTTCTCTGGGGTCCCTGGCCTTTTGCAGGACAAGGCTGAGCATCTGGGAAGTGCATCATAAAGGGTTGTGAAATGGGGGTGAAAAGCTAGTTCATCCACCATTCATCCATCCATTCATTCATTCATGTGTATTTATTGATTGGATCAGGACTGGAACCAGGACCTTCTGCCTGCAGGCTATGCTCTTCCTTCTGCCCAAGGCTGTACGTTATGATTGCTAGTGTTCATTCTAGTTGGTCTTAAAGGGCCCTGAGGTGCCAAGATGTGTCTCTACCAGGAGATCTGGGAGCTGATGTTCTCAGTGTTCTGGAGTCCTGAGGTTTTCCTGTCCCAGAGTGTCCCCCAGTCAGGGGACCCTGGTCTGGGGAGTGTGGGGAGCATCTCCCAAGAGATGAAAAAGCATCTGGGAACCACTTCTGAAATCCCAGGCATCAGACTCCAGTCACTGCCCTCCTGCTTCTGTCCACACCCAGCTCCATGTCTATTTCCAAGTCATCAGTCCCCAGAGGGATAAGGTGATGACATTTGTGGTGAAAATGGAAAACCCTCAACCTTCAGGACTGTTGGATGTTCTTGTGTCCTTCCCTGGCAATTCTTTTCTCTCTCTCTCTCCCTCCCTCTTTTTTTTTTTTTGGCCACACCACACGGCTTGTGGGATCCTAGTTCCCCGACCTGGGATCGAACCCATACGCCTGGCAGTGAAAGTGCGGAGTCCTAACCACTTGCCCGCCAGGAAATTCCCCTCTTTTCTCTTTTTAACATTTTTGTTGAGGTTTAACACAGGCATGGTCAAGTTCATGAGTGTCAGAATTGGAGGTTGATTGAGGTGATGACCCTTGGGTCAGGATATAGGACATTTCCAGCCCCTGCCAGGTCCTTGGACCCTCCAGTTGATTCTCCCCTCCCTCAAGGTGACCACTACTCTGACATCCATCACTTGGGTGAGTTTTACCTGATTCTGAATTTCACATATGGGATGGCCGGGTGTCCACTCTGGCCTCTGGCTTCTCTTGATCCTCATGTTTGTGGAGCAGGCAATTGTTCCTTTTCGTAGTTACGTAGTATTCCTGGGCATCATTTCTTTCTTCCTTTTGTTTTATTTATTTATTTAAAAAAATGCTTTGGGCTTCCCTGGTGGCGCAGTGGTTAAGAGTCCGCCTGCCGATGCAGGGGACACGGGTTCGTGCCCCGGTCCGGGAAGATCCCACATGCCGCGGAGCAGCTGGGCCCGTGAGCCATGGCCGCTGAGCCTGCGCGTCCGGAGCCTGTGCTTCGCAACGGGAGAGGCCACAACAGTGAGAGGCCCGCGTACCGCAAAAAAAAAAAAAAAAAAAAAGTTTTTTGGCCGCGACGCACAGCATGTGGGATCTTAGTTCCCTGACCAGTGATGGAGCCCGTGCCCCCTGCATTGGAAGCGCAGAGTCTTAACCACTGGACTTCCAGGGAAGTCCCCATTTTTTTCTTTTTATATTGTGGTAAAATAAATATAACATATAACTTATCATTTTAACCACTGAAAGTGTATAATTCAGGGATATTTAGGACATTCATGATGTAGCATGACCCTCACTAGTATCTAGCTCCAGAATACTTAAAAGAAGACCCCATGCCCATTAGCAGTCATTCCCATCCCCCCTCCCTCCCAGCCACTGGCAACAACTCTTCTGCTTTCTGTCCCTGTGGATTTGCCTCATCTGGACAGTTCATACAATATGTGGCCATTTCTATCTGGCTTTCTTTACTCAGCATAATATTGGTTTTTTTTTTTTTTTTTATTGCGGTACGCGGGCCTCTCACTGTTGTGGCCTCTCCCGTTGCGGAGCACAGGCTCCGGACACGCAGGCTCAGCGGCCATGGCTCACGGGCCCAGCCGCTCCGCGGCATGTGGGATCTTCCCGGACCGGGGCAAGAACCCGGGTCCCCTGCGTCGGCAGGCGGACTCTCAACCACTGCGCCACCCGGGAAGCCCACTCGGCATAATGTTTTCAAGGTGCATCCACGTTGTATCATGTGTGACTGCTTTATTCCTCCATGTGAATCTACCACATTTTGTTCGTCCATTCATCTGTGGATGGACATTTGGGCTGTTGCCACCTTTTCGCTATTGTGAGTAGTGCTGCTGGGAATATTCACATGCAAGTTTTTCCTGAGCATCGCTTTCCGTTCTTCTAGGTCTACACCTAGGAGTGGAATTGCTGGGTCATATGGTAAGTCTATATTTAGCTTTTGAAGAGCTGCCACACTGTTTTTACACAGCAGCTGTAACATTTTACATTCCCACTGGCAGTGTACAGGGGTTCCAGTATCTCAACCTCCTTGCAAACATCTGGATATTTTCCCTTCTATCTTAACCACTGGGTGCCAATTTTTCATGATTTGTCCATTTTACCTGTTTGTGGACATTTGGGTTGTTTCCAGTTTGGGGCGATTATGGTTAAATCTGTTTTGAGCCTTTTTGTTCATGTCTCTTGGCAACTATACTCTTTTCTCCCCCAGTAAATGCCCAGGGGTGGAATGGCTGAGTCATGGGGTAGGACATGGCCGCGCTATTTTCTCAAGTAGCCTGTGAGGGAGGTAATGCCTCCCATGTCCTGCCAACACTTAGGTTTCAGCCTTTTTTTGTTTGTTTTAATATTTTATTTTATTTTGTTGAAGTATAGTTGATTTACAATGTTGTGTTAGTTTCCGGTGTTCAGGAAAGTGATTCAGTTATACATGTATATACATTCTTTTTCGTATTCTTTTCCATTATGGTTTATCACAGGATATTGAATATAGTTCCCTGTGCTAGACAGTAGGACCTTGTTTATCCTTTCTATATAAAATAGTTTGCGGGCTTCCCTGGTGGCGCAGTGGTTGAGAGTCCGCCTGCCGATGCAGGGGACACGGGTTCGTGCCCCGGTCCGGGAAGATCCCACATGCTGCGGAGCAGCTGGGCCCGTGAGCCATGGCTGCTGAGCCTGCGCCTCCAGAGCCTGTGCTCCGCAAGGGGAGAGGCAAAAACAGTGAGAGCCCCGCGCCCCGCAAAAAAAAAAAAAAAAAAAAAGTTTGCATCTGCTAATCCCAAGCTCCCAATACATCCTTCCCCTACCTCCTTCCCCCTTGGCAACCACAAGTCTGTTCTTTATGTCTGTGAGTCTGTTTCTGTTTCGTAGATAAGTTCATTTGTATCATATTTTAGATTCCACATAAAAGTGATATCATATGGTATTTGTCTTTCTCTTTCTGCCTTACTTCACTTGGTATGATAATCTCTAGTTCCATCCATGGTGTTGCAAATGGCATTATTTTATTCTTTTTTTATGTCAGCCGTTTTAATATTTGCCTTTCTTCCCTTCCTCCCTCATCCCCCTCACCAACCCTGTTCTTCAACATTCATTAAGCATTTGTGTTGACAACACTGTAGTTCTGAGTGCCGGAGAGGAACAAAGTCCCTGCTCCTGGGTACGAATAGCTCTCAACCTGGGACAGGAGGGAGCCTGAGGGCTGAATGCAGATATGTCAGTTCATTTCATTCTTGCAACAACTTGGGCCATAAACTCTGAGAAAACACATTTAATACATGGGAAAAAGGGATTTGGAGAGTCAAGGGACAGATCCAGTGCCTAGCACCCCAGCTGGGATATGAATCCAGGGTATGTGATTCCAGGCCCTGAAAGAGGCATTCATTCATTCATTGTTTGTTCATTTGTTCCTTCATCCATTCCGTAAACACTTCCTGACAAGTTTACTGTGCCTCCAAGAGGTC